ACAAGTACTAAACTTGAAACGAATCGCAAATTGTCAGAGTTGGTGGGGTAGCGTACGTGCGTGCACTAGACACAGACTATCGGATACAGTCGGTGGCCGACGATGTTGGCAAATGGTCTGGTCACTCCAGGCCGGTGACGCCAACGACAGTACCAGCGATCAAAAACAGGGTACGTGGCCGACCGGTCTTCGAAAGGTCGGTGGCAGTGTGAAAACACGAGCTTCGTCTGGCGATGCGGGGTGCTCAGAGTAGCGGGGGGACAAAGGAGGAAGGGGTGTGTAACAAAAAGCGGTCGGGGAGAGCAGCAACTAGAGGGGCGCGGAGGCGGAATCGGCGTTTAACAATAAGAATGTATGGGCACCTCGCCGATGGATGCCTGATCGGTGGTTGAAATTGGTTTCCCAGGAACTTGGCAGGCCACTGACACCGTTCGCTGTAACCGATCAGCGGCGCTCGGAGACGTTCGTTGTATGTGTGATTTTGTGCCATTGAACCAATATATATTTCGACGGTCACGCGGATATTGTTCGTTTTAATCGAAAGTTCGTTTTAAGTGGGGCCGTTATATGTGGGCTCGATTGTATATCCTTTTTACCACTTGAGCTTCTATCCCTTTTCCTGGTATGCCGATGAAGCATTCCTCTGTCTGAGGCTTCCAGCAAGTCACCTCTGACAGATGGCTAGAAAATAGCAGCATGAAACTGCTGAAAGCCTGAGGCTATCATTTAAAACAGGTTTGTAACTGATTGTGAAAGCTCTACTTCGAGCTGACACAACAATTATTAACAAAGTGATTGACGTATCGCCTCCTATGCAGGTGACATCCTCAGTATATGCTGGCAAAAAATAAAAATAAGCAGAGGTCGATCAGTCTATTAGTCACACATGTCTTTGTAAACGTTCGGTAGGGGGCCATGGCTTGCTGTTGCATTGTAGCGAATGAACCAAGTTTACAGAAGCCTTCACCCCTCCCCCACACACACATTCTTTAGGTCAAAAGTATGGCCCAATGCAGCATCGTTCAAAGTTTCACCACATGCAACTTTCACTACCTGCATGCTGCCCTAGTCTTAATAAAATCTATCATTTCTTTTGTAATCAATTACTTAATTTATACAGTAATGAAAAAGTAACCACATTACTTTTTCACTGTAACTGTAACAAGTTACTTCTAGAAAATCGGTAACTGTAACTGTAACAGAGTTACTTTTCTGGCTTCAGTAATTGTAACACTATTACTTTTTACTGGTAACGTGCCGATGACTGATTGGATTGGATTGGATAAACTTTTATTTGGTCCTCCAAAACACAGATCACTGTGTTGCGGGCAGCTCCCACGTGGGGACTGAGATGCCGCCGATGACTGATGATAAATCCGTAAAACATATAAATTTACAGACGAGGTAGCAAATGTGATATTTGTAGCAAGCTCTATAACGACGACGCTTTTACAGACAGGACTCTTGAGCTCGATTGAAAAGGACGGGATCGCACTTGCCATGTTGAGCCGCGTGTGACCGATAAGTGGCCAGAGCCAGTGGAGCTGCGCCACGCTAGTACACTGCAGTTGCATCAGTACAAAAGCTTATTTGTCGCCTAGGCAACTGCTCCCCTCCCTTGCTCAGAGAGCCTGTGCAACGAATACGCTGCGGTCTTTTTCTACTTTTTTTTATTTCCTCCACCATCGTTCGTTCACTCTGCGTCCCCTCCTCCACCTCATCGCCCTCTCCCCAGCGGTGCACCCTCGCTCTTAGCCGTGCTCTCAACTAGAGCCTGTGCAACGAATACGCTGCGGTCTTTTTCTACTTTTTTTATTTCCTCCACCATCGTTCGTTCACTCTGCGTCCCCTCCTCCACCTCATCGCCCTCTCCCCAGCGGTGCACCCTCGCTCTTAGCCGTGCTCTCAACTAGGGCTGCAGAAGTTGCATCCTTTCCTCTCCTACTTCTCCTTGGCAGAGCACCCAGCACACCTCTTTTTAACAGCGCCCTCGCTACTGCCGCATTTGTCACGATTTCCTGGCAACTGCATTATAACCAGCCTGTCGTCTTGGGAAGGCTGCACAATAAGCGGTATGCGTATACACGGGGTTCTATGGCCAGGAAAAAAAAGACTGCATTGTAACTGATCCTGCACTAAAAGCCATTACTTTATAAGTGGTCTGCACCTTATTACATGAACACAATAGGGTATTTGGTATTACTTATTAATGCCCAGAAACAAATAGTAAAGAAAGCATGCCACATAGATAATTTATGAATATGTTTACCATGTTTACTCACGTAATGCATGCACTTTTTCCCCGAAAAATCGAAGCAAAGATGGAGGAGCGTTTAATATGCAGGGCAAACTTTAAGAAACTTTATTCAGGATGAGTGAAAAATGCAGTAATGAGAAAAAAAAAAGTTGTTTAACTTGGCATTTCGTAGTTGACATACACGTACACTGTTTGGAAACGGCTTCTTTGTACTTCCCTCATCTTCGGTGGTTGACAGCGCCAACTTCTGCATGTTGTCCCCACACTGCCTTCGTGACTTTCTTTCCTTCGTGACTTTCTTTTCTCGCAATCGTTTAACCGCAACACTAGTATCTGCTGTGATATGAAGGAGTGCCCAGAAGCGAGCGCTACGACACACTTTGCCAGTTTTATGACAAACTCACACGACGACCGCGACGCTATTCTTGATATTGCAGCAAGTAACCAACATTGTAGCAAGCTACCACCTAAGAATCAAAACAAACCGTCGATAACGAGATTAAAGACAAAATACGGGCTCCACCTCGCAGTCCACAAAAGAAGTGACTGTAAAGGGGTAGCCTATATCTGCGTTCAATGAAGCATGCACCCAAAGCCAAAATGGGGGTGCTAACCTGTTGCGGAAATCGTCACGCTTTTTTCTGGGTGATAAGCGATTTTTTCTTGTTTTCCGGAAACCTGCGAAGCGATGGTGATGAATGGCCCTTTGCGACAGCAAATACTGTCGTCGTCACTCGAACATGTGGTTGGCGCGTGTAGCTGGGCCTTAAAGTTTCGTATTTGCAGGAAGCGACTGTTAGTTGGCAGTTTCGCATCAGCCTGTCAGCTGCGATTTCATTACTCTCGCAATGTTAGTAAACCCCGAAGTGGAGCACTGATAATAAAATAAGACAAGGGACGTGCCGCGAACAGACAGAAAGAAAACCAAATGGCACGCAGCATCAACGGAAGGAGGTGGGGAGGGGGCGAGTCAAGGTGGCCGAAAGGTTTCAGAGAATAAAAAATGGAATAGATCCAACGGTCAAGGAGGCACCACGTGTCCGTTTGTGCGACTGCAGCGGATGAATGTAAGAGGCGCGCTTAATAGGCAGGAGAAAAAAATCCAAATTTTTACGACTGGAGTGGGAATTATGCGAGTGCATTCATTACATGAGTAAATACGGTATATTATAAAAAACATGATGCCTATCTAAGCTAAATTTACACAAAGAACTCTGTAGAACTTGCACCAAAAGAACACTGCTGCATAGTTTATTATTAGAGATCTACAGAACTCCCCACTCTACAGCATATTTGCATTGATATGATATAGAGCAGAATCTCGATGATACGAATTTGAAAAGACCATGCAAAATATTCAATTTATTGCGAATATGACGTTCTTTTGAACTTTCCTGCCTTCACCGTCTTTCAATAAATTGCTGTGGTTTCCTCACTCATGCTGCTGGCATAGTGCGTTCACATTAGACAACAAGGGGAACGACAGCGACCTAACTCATTAAAATTTCATTCACTTCGCCTTTTAGCCGGCTGGAAAACTGCACCATGAAGTCCACACGGAAAAATTAAGTGTTACAAAATTCAAGCGAAAACACCAGAGCGGCAGAACCACATCCACACCCGTCGAAAACATTGACATTCGTTATGCCTTTTGCACATGCCATCACCGCTGCCATTGCTGCTTGAGAATTCATTTCATTTTGACTGTTTCCTGAGCATCAAAATTCGTACTGAGTTCTAGTTACACATGCATCGCACTGAAATTAAACAGTTTGCACTTTAACAAATGGTCTTTCGGAAGATACACCTGCAGAAACGACACAAGCGAACGCACTGGAAGCGGCGGTCTTTCGGAAGATACGCCTGCAGAAATGACACAAGCGAACGCACTGGTAGCGACGGCAACGAATTCAGCTGGCAGTGCAAAAGTGAAACACGGTAGGGGATGCAGACTTCTTGCTGCTGCACGTTCTTCTACTTCCGTTGTTCTTGGCGATCATTATCTGGCTCTCAATGAACGTGTCCTTGTCAAGGCCGTGACCCTTGAGGCGCTGCACGGGCAGTCCGTGATAGCGTCGGCACGATTGACCGCCGACGCCTTTGCCACAATGTTGAATTTGCGGCTGGTTGTTTACGTCACGGGTTTCAAGAGAGAGATCAGCCAGTGGAAGCCAAAGCCGTGAAGCGATCTGCCATTGTGTCACAGAAAAATTGGTCTCGGACTGACTTTTCTTTTTCTTTTTTCACATCAGCCTTGCGGCGTGGTTTTTCAGCCACTAAAGCGACGAAAATTTCAGGAGAATTTCGCTGCATTCACTCCCTTCGCAGCCAAGTATGAAATGGGCCACAGACAAGCTGCGTTGCGCCACTTGTGTTCAGCGGTCAATTGCACGTTCGTATCATTCGCGGTGGGTGGGGAACCAGTTCGTATAACACCGAAACCTGGCGTATTTTACATAATGTGGTCCATCAGAAACAACCTTAAAATTCGTATCGTTGCGAAATTCGCATCAACCGTAATCATATCCAGATTCTACTGTATGTGCGGCTGTCCTTTAGACAGTTGTAGGATGATGATATCGGATTTCGCTAAAGCTCCAAGTAAACTTCCAATGACTTCCAGAAATTCTAAATAAAGTATGCCTGCTGGCCAGAAAGTTTCAAGCAAACTCCTGCAAACTGGCAGTGACACCACTCAACGCTGCATGAGTTTACAGGAAGCATAGTTGCCAGCCTTCCTTACCGTTGTTGGGGTCCAGGACCCATTGGAGGCATCATGCCAGGTGGTGCACCACCAGACACAGCTGCACTTGGACCCAGTAGAATCTGTGAGAAAGACAGAAACTGGCAGTGTGTTAGCACCTCCCAAATAGTGGCAGCAAATTAGACACATTGGTCAAACTAACGAGAACACCAACTTAAGCCTGCAAAGCATAGACATTTGAAAGACCTTTCAACCGACAACCCATTAGCTCAATAGTGGAGTTTGAGCTGCTACCAAGCATTTTCGAAAACCATTTATGCAACAGTGTATAGAGTCAATGGAGCACCCCACAACTTTTGAAAAACCCCAATGGCCATTTAGCAGCGGAAGCGAAAACAGCGCAAATGCCTTTTTTTTTGTTCAGTACCTCACAATCGGAACAAAAATCAAGCCAGGATGCACTAAAAGCAGCCTATGTCTATCTTATTAATCATATAATGAAGTATTTTCGTTATTTGAGATGTGCAAACTGCACCTACTCTTGACAACCGTGACATGCCTACATACTGAAGAGCGTGTGGAAGTTTCCTAAAGAGGCATGAACGTTGCGACAGCTTCACTGCTCAACTTAAAAACTAAGTATATATGTATAACAAAGTATAAACATCTCATTAAAATGTTTAAACACAAATAACAGACATATCTGTACTCTCGTCAATAACATAAACACAAGATCCACAGCACCACGCAACTTTAGCTGATATGCCTGGATGCCTCAACACCCATTCAAAACTGCCGTGTAGCAACGCCAGAACTCGGATGAGCTGATAGGGTAGTGGTGTTTCAAAGGCTGTCAATGGGGGGTTGCACTTCATTGCATGCAGTGAGAGCTGTAGTGGTAACTAAAATTAGTAACTATAGTTAAAAAAAACCACAGTACGAGCTTTTGGTGGTGTAGTGTTCTTTACTCTTGTCATTATCATGGTGCATCTGATCACTAGCGAAGTATGAAGTGCATGACACAACATGCACTTTTCAATGAAGACTTTTTTTATTCCTTTATAAATATTATTTCTTTTTACGAGGCAAATTTCATGCAGGTTTTTAAACCCTTTAATGCCTGAGTTATGAAACTGCTGAAAAAAATTAAAATACCTTTTTGTTTTCCAGCTCTAAAAAGCAACCTTTAAATAACTCTACAATTGAATTGCCTAAAATGCACTTTTAATGCGTACATTTACGTATGTCACGAATTCTCCACATGCCACAGAAGCGAGGAAGGACCTTGTAACAAAAAACAAACTTCAGAACAATGCAACATGTGTGCCACATCTCGAGCGCAGACACACCAAATAGGTAAACAAAAAGTATTGAAGATAGAAATTGCATCAGCCAGGCAAGAAAGAGCGAAGAAGTGAGCGCTCTTGCTCCAGCTCTCCGCCATCCGCTACAAATCAACTGGTTCTAGCATAAAATACATTACTCGAGATAGTGCTAGATTTTTCATGCTGAAAGCTACGTTCCTCACGAGACTTGACAGCCGGCATAAAAGGCGGCACATGCGTGACATGCCTGCTTGAAGTTTTTCAGTACGCCGCAAACTTGTGACACTAGGCAGAAAGGGCCAACATGAGCTCCCACTCACGTTTCCAATAAAATCCTATTCCCCTACGCTAACATGTCTTGATTGATTCTTCTATACACACTTACTGGCACATAGTCCCATTTTTTCTCATGCTCACTTCAACAATTGTACTGGCAAACATTTTTTACTGTGGTTACGTTGACTACGATTCACGTCCATTTATTAGCCCTGTCACACGAGTGCTCATGACAGGCCGCCCAATTGACAGCCTTCGAAACGCCACAACTTTAAATGCTTTGAGTTGTCCTCGATACTGCTGATGGCAAGAAGTAGCATACACAGGATCGTGACTTATTCATGAAGCAATTGTTGAAACGATGTAGCTTCTTCTCGGGCTCTTAAATTGAGGGTGGGAGTAGCGGCTTTACTGCTACAAGCAGTGCCTTACGTGCGCTTTCGTGCATGAGCGCAGTGAGCCTGCATGAAACGTGTGCCTTCATCTGCCACCTTCAGGCATCATCACGAGTCTCCAGCTCCGGTAGACAACGATTTCGACGTTTAGTCTCTCCTTGCTGTGCCTTCAACCCCGAGGTACCTTTTGCTGCCATTGCCGCTTTGCCAGTTTCACGGTGTTCTGGCCTTCTATTTTATTCTGCTTAACAGCCTTTTATTTTGTTCTTGTTAACCTTTTGTTCTATCATATGCTTTGATCGATGGGTGGTTTAAATGTCAGCATTTTCATGCTGTTGTGGCCATCTATTTTGTTTTTTCTGGTCAACAGCGTTTTGTTAACCTTTTTGTTGTGGACAGATGTTTCACTTTGTTCACACGCACCAGCGCTACATCTTCTGTAAACGGCGGCGTTTCACAGACAGACATTGCGGTGTCTTTAGGGGCTCGGCCCTTGAAAATCACTGCTGCACCTCTTTGTGCAGACGGCTAACCAGTGAAACTCAAACATGCAGCTGCCACTGGGCTAGTCCGGAAAGTTCATTAAAGCCTATCTCAATTACTGTTTACAATATTTCTGTTAATGGTACCGGGCTGCAAAGAAGAGAACAAGGCCACTGATGACATGTCCCTCTTTCTCCTTTACTGTTTTTGCACCTGCCCTGCATTCGCACTTGCTCTCCTTCACCTGACCCTTTGTGGGACAAAGGTAGAAATGCATACCATTGTTTCCCTACATTTCAAACATATAAATATATCAAATTTGATGCATTTTCTTTTTATTTCCTAATTTCTTGAAGTTTTGAGAATCGACGTCAAATTGTTTTTTCATGTTTGTGCTCTGCGGATTTTTGTAATGCCAAGTGAAAAGGGGTAGGAGCCTCGTCAAGCTGCTAACATAGCAAGTTTTTGCTCTTCTCCTTGCGTTTTCTTTTTCGCAACTCTGTGAAGAAAATGCTCAATAAAACTGAAACTGAAAATATTGTCAAAATTGGCACAATTCCTACTGGTGGCACCAAGCTGGTTAAGTTTTTACTTCGCTACAACATGGTGCGGACAGCACATGGCATTTTGCAAATACAATAATCACCGATTGCTATTCAATGTAGTGGCCCAAATGAATGCCTTGAAAACATCCCTTCAACGCATCTCTAAAATGTCCCATTTTACCCGTTTACTAACTAGAACCTAGCGATTCACTTTCATGCACTTGTTACTCAATAACGAACCATTTTGGGGTTTAATTTACAATGAAAGCTGTAGTGACATCACGCCAGATTTGTAGTGACATGGGTCACCTTCGGACATCCGCAATGTATGTATCGGCAACGCATTGGTTGCTACATCCCTCGCAGCTGCTGCAGCTTGCGGTGATGGCAACTGTGCATGCATTTGTTTTGATGGTGCTTCTATGGCATGTGTGTGTCAAAGAAGACGATACTCAGCACTAAGTGTGTCCCACTTCTTGTGCGGTTCTGTGACTGAGCCCCCTATTACACTGCTATGTCACTGCCCAACTCGGCGCCCAGAAACCAAAACTGAAAGTTGTTCACATAAATACCATATTTTGGCGCATCTAAATAGCACCAAAAACTTCAGTGGCAATGTGGGGGTGCGGAAAATACACGGGGGTTTTCCTATAGTGCTCTTTTACGGCAATGGGTATTGTGCCGTGAAGCCCCTTAACAGTGTAACAAAAGATACTAAGGCAGTTTCCGCAAATTGTGTAGCTCCGCAAGTAGTACGGCAGCTTGCGGACAACTGCAGTTTCGCTTGCTTGCATTGTTAAAGCGTTTAGGAAACATTTGAGCAGAGACAATTCCATTGTTTAGTGTAAACCTCAGTGTCACATTACAAGTATATTTTTTTGAACGTTTGCAGCCGCACGGTGACCCTTCACCACCGTCCACATGCCCCTACGCCATGTGTACCTAAGAATAGGGCTTGCCAAAAAGGTGGTGCGGTCTAAAAAATAGAAAGAAAAGGAAGGCATTTTTGCAAAGTGAACAATACGTGTATCTCACTTACGATTTCCCGCAACCATTCGAATTCCACAATAAATAAAGCACTATTTATTTCAGCAAGGTAAATGAGATATCAGTAAATTTAAGTACTACTTTTGATGCGGTAGCAGGCATGCACTTTGGTTCTGTTGCTTCCACGGAGCTGTCAAGAAATGTCGCCAAGTGTGAGCTCTTTTCACCTTGCTGATATCACTAGTTCTCTTCATCTCGACCCGTTCGCCGAGACTAACTCAATCTGTTTCTCACCATGAGTAATGTCCAGTGGCAGTCCTTCACTGCACAGCAAAAGCTGAAGATCACCACTGTTGTCGAGGAATATGGGAATCGCAAAGCAGGAAGACAGCACAATATGGAGGAGTCATGCGTACGCCAGTGGAGAAAGAAGAAAGCGTACAAGCAGCGCACTGCGTGCACTGACCTGGCGCTGTTGTTGCCTGCTCATCTCCTCCATTTGCAGTCGTTCCAGCTCGAAGATGACGGGTGCAAAGAGGATCGCCGATGAAGAGAAGATGATCCAGAAGGCCGAGCGGCCGAAGCTGTACAGGCCCTTGGCCGAACCCCACGAGAAGTTGGCCACGTCGTACACCCCCTGGCGCAGCTTCGGGGGGAACATCTCCGTCAGTCCCCACAACCGCTCGTACAGCGTCTCGTCCAGATCCTGCCGCCGCAAGGACATTCCGAATAACTCTTAACAAGATCGCACAGGCCAGAGTAAGCTTTGAAAGACAGAAAGCTTAGCTAGCTGTTAAGACGAAAGCAGAAGATCAACCATAGATGAATGTCTAGCATGCAGATATCCCATTTCTACTTCCCCAAGTCCAAGCCTGCATACCCCCCCCCCCCTCACTTTTTTTCTATGACAATTCCAAGATAAGCCGTGAATGCAGCCTTTCCACAGCAAAGATTTTTAAGGAGGTTGAGGACACAAACACGAACAGCTGAGTTGATTCTAGAACAAATGCGGACACTAGTGATAATGCTCGAGTGAGTGAGTGACCTTTATCTTGGTCCAGAACTGGCAGAGACGGGACGAGACCGGAGTCCCAGCTAGCTCAGCCAGGTCCCTCTAACAAGGAAGGTGCCGGGAGGTTTCAGCATGAGACATTTCAGCATGGCAACAATCATATAACCATCATCAAATTGTTGCGAGTTACTTTTTTATCGCCAGTGACATAACGTCTGCCAATTAACAGGCATGAACTCTGGTGTGATGAGGGGTGTGTTGTGAGTGAAGTGCGCGAGTCAAGTGACTTTCAAATTTGGCGCGTAAGATGAACTACTGACAATGTGTGCAAGATGGCGTATTGCGCCAGTGCGGCGAACACTGGCGATTGGAAAAAGAAGAAAATTCAAGGGAATGGGAGAAAAATCCAGAGCCAGGGCATCGAAGAACGAGGAAGAGGAGATTCGGGCTCGTGCTTGGAAGAGGAAGGCTAGGGTGCGGCGTGCGACCTCGTCGGGTGCGAGTACCTCCTGGGCGTCAGGGCATCCACCTAGCGGGCGACTGTTTCCACGGGGTCCTGGTGACCATTCAACCGCAGCGGCTATTGGCGAATCCTTGGCAAGACCTTGGTCTGATGTTCGAGCGGAAGACAGCGCAGCAGATGACGTCTACCGGGAGCGGGAGCAAGCCGTCGGGCTACGGGCCCGAGCTTATGCACTCTCACCACGGCAGCTTCCCCAATGGACTATTGAAGGGCGTGAACCGCTGGTGAGCCGTATCCGTCTTCTCTCGCGTCCGGACTCAAACACGAGGACTTTAACGAAAAGGACTGTTTAGACTCTTAGAGGTTTCCGCTCGCTAACGAAACTGACAGTGCTAATTAGTTAACATTTTTCTGATCTTAGTATTTTCCCTTTTTGTGGTTTTTTTTTGTGGGTTTGTGAAAGTATAATTTTTTTTTTGCAAATCAAACGCTCACTTCCTTTTCTCGTGAGAGATTAACGTTTCACAGCTAGCTCGACTGGCTTTATTTACTGAACCTGTCACAAATTGGCGTCCGCTACGACAGGACGTGAGTGTTTGCCACTAAAAAGTAGATTTGAGTAAGGCTAACTAAAAAAGTAAAATGGGCTCACGAGAGTTGATGGCGCTGGCAGAACGCATGGGGTTGGAGGGAGCAGAATTGCAGGCTTGGTTTGACGCACGAGAAGCGCGTGAGCGCGATGAACGAGCCGCGGAGAGAGACGCGAAGAAAGAACAGTTGGAGCTGGAAGGCCGCAATTTACAGCTACGTCTTGAAGTAGCAAAAACGGAGAACCAAACCCGAGAAGCAAGCCAGCGACACTTGGAAGTAGAAGAGAGGACGCTGCAACTGCGCCTGAGAGTAGCTGAGGCCGGTGTCGGTCAGCCTACGGTGGCTGACACGGGCAACCAAAGGAACGCGCCTATGGTAGTGAACCCGCATAACTTTATACCCGTTTTCAACGAGGACAGAGACGACCTTGACGCCTACCTGAAAAGGTTTGAGAGAGTGGCGACAGGTCAAGATTGGCCACGGGAAAAGTGGGCCACGGCTCTTAGTTTGTGCCTTGGCGGAGAGGCTCTGAAGGTATTTGGACGGTTGTCACCGAACGATTCCCTGTCATACGACGAAGTCAAATGGGCACTGCTCCAGCGTTTTCGCTTCACGGCTGATGGCTACCGTGAGAAATTCCGGAAAAGCAAGCCTGAAGACGGCGAAACTGGAAAACAGTATGCCACGAGACTCCAAAGTTTCTTTGACAGGTGGATAGAAATGTCTCAGACAGAGAGGAATTTCGATTCAGTCCGTGACTTGATTGTAGCCGAACAATTCATGGCGAACTGCAGTAGTCAGCTGGCGCTCTTCTTACGGGAGAAGAACTGCAAGACTCTGGAAGCCATGGCAGAGGCAGCTGATATATATATAGAGGCAAAGAGATTGAAGAACTTATTAATAGTTCAGAATAAGAGTGAGGACACAACTGGGAAGGCTAAATTGATTTCAAGCCCAAGAGCAGAGATGCAATGTTTTGTTTGTGGCCGTAAGGGGCACAAGGCTTCTGACTGTCGAAGTAAACCTAAACAAGTATTTTGTACAAACTGCCGTAAGTGGGGGCATGATGTGAAGGGCTGTCAGAAAATGACTGGCACTTCGAAATCAACTACATCTTGTTTAATGCTACCCAAAGAAGAGACCGGTCCACAACAATCCATGATTGATGGCGACGACTCGGACCGAGACGACAATGTTATGGGCACGGTGAAGACGCAAGCGCAATGTAAGAAACGTCCCATGCCAGTGTTACCAGGGGAAGTGAATGGACAGATTGTTCGAGTCCTAAGGGACACCGGAAGCAACACGTTGGTAGTACGCCGGTCATTAGTACCTGATGAAGCACTAACTGGCACTACCGCGACGTTGTGGTTGGCTGATGGCAGCACCATCGTAACCCCTGAGGCGGAGATACGTATCAGATCTCCATACTTTTCCGGCATGGCCATCGTCAAGTGTATGCCGTCGCCACTGTATGACGTCATAGTTGGGAACGTACCGGGGGCCCGTGACGCCAATGACCCCGACGTTTCGCGGAAACTTTCTCAAGATCAATTCATTAAGAAAAAAGTTCATTCTGCGGACGAAGGTAACCACCCAAATTCTCAACTGGTTGGTGCCGCACGTCTCAATAGTTCGCGAAGGGCCATCTCTGTTGGGCTCCCTGGCCAGATGTCTCGCAAAATGTTTCGCGAAGAACAAGAAAAAGACCAGACGCTTGACATCTGCAGAGCCAGAGTGGGTAAGAAGTTTGTTAGAAAGGGCTCGACATCTTTTTCTTTCGTAGCCAAGAATGGTATTCTTTACCGACAATACTTCCTGTCCCCTGGTAAGATCATTGAACAAGCCATAGTCCCGAAGTCCCTGAGAGGCCAAGTGTTACGTTTGGCTCATGAAAATGTCATGTCAGGCCATCAGGGTGTAAAAAAAACAATAGATCGAGTTCTGGACGCCTTCTACTGGCCCGGGGTACAAGAAGATATCCGCAGATATGTCCGATCATGTGACGCCTGTCAAAGGACTTTACCGAAAGGCAAGGTGGGCAAGGTGCCTCTAGGGCGTATGCCGTTGATCGACACCCCTTTTGAACGTGTGGCGGTCGACATCATTGGACCGATAACTCCAGCCTCGGCAAAAGGCCATCGGTATATTTTGACTCTTGTGGATTTCGCCACTCGCTACCCTGATGCAGTGCCTTTGACAGCAATTGACTCAGCTACAGTGGCCGAGGGACTTGTCGAGATGTTTTCTCGCATTGGTTTTCCACGAGAAGTCTTGGCTGATCAGGCATCGTGCTTTACCTCAGATCTAATGAAGGAGGTGAATGAACTACTGGCAGTCAAGCATCTTAGCTGCACTCCATACCATCCTATGTGCAACGGGATGGTAGAGAGGTTTAATGGAACACTCAAGCAAATGCTCCGCAAAATGGTTCAAGAACAGCCTAAATGTTGGGATCGCTTGCTAGCACCTCTTTTGTTTGCTTATCGTGAAGCCCCACAAGCAAGCTCCGGGTTCTCACCATTTGAACTTATTTATGGCCGACATATTCGAGGACCTCTGAGCATCCTGAAAGAGCTATGGACTCATGATCAGGAGAACGAAGAACTTAAGACGACGTACGGATATGTCCTGGATTTAAGAGAGCGAATTGAGAAGACACTAGAGCTGGTACGACAAAACCTGAGCCGAGCACAGGTGTCGCAGAAAAGGTATTACGACCGCCACAGCAAGCAACGGGACCTGAAAGCTGGTGACCGTGCATTGATCTTGCTTCCCACAAGCAACAACAAGTTATTGATGCATTGGAAAGGGCCGTTTCCAGTCATAGAAAAGAAAAACGACTATGACTACTGGCTGGACCTTGGACACAGCAAAAAACTTTTCCACATAAACATGCTGAAAAAGTATGAAGAACGCCGTGAAGAACAGCTTCCTCAGACATCATCTTTTGTCGTTCTGGAGGAAGAGGAGTCTGAGAAACCACTACCAACTTTCAAAGTACAGGGTAGCTGCGGTATTGACTCCATAAAGCTTGGAGATGAAATCGGGGAGCGACAGCGGGTGGAGATAAGGGACATCTTAAGTACCTACGAAGACGTATTCTCGGAGATCCCAGGTAAAACAAACCTTGTGGAGTGTCGGTTACAAACGACCAGTTCAGAACCAGTTAACACCCCACAATACCCATTGCCATTCTCTATGAAGGAAGTCGTTGAAAAGGAAGTGCAAGACATGTTGCAACTTGGCATTATAGAACCCTCAGAGTCACCATATAATTCTCCTTTGGTACTAGTCAAAAAGCCAGACAATGGCTACAGGGCCTGTATAGACTTTCGCCGTATAAACAATGTTCTGGTATCTGATGCAGAACCTATACCCAGAACTGATCACTTGTTTGCCGAAGTGGGAACAAAGAAATGGTTCTCGAAGTTTGATTTAACTAAAGGATATTGGCAGGTTCCTCTCGCAAAAGACTCGCAGCAAAAGACCGCCTTTTCAAGCCAATCAGGGCATTATCATTTCCTGTATATGCCTTTTGGCATCAAGACCGCATCCGCGGTCTTCACTCGTCTGATGAGAAAGTTATTGCTTGGAATACCCAACGTCGTTCATTACATAGACGACGTACTGGTGGCTACCACTACGTGGGAAGAACATCTAACAACTTTGAAGCAATTTTTTGCCAGGATACGACAAGCCGGACTAAGGATCAAGCCACAGAAATGTGAAGTGGCTATGAGCACAGTCACCTTTTTGGGACATCGATTGGGAGATGGCAACATACGGCCAGTCGAAAGCACGATACAGAAGATCACCTGTGCTTCTAAGCCTGAAACAAAGAAGCAACTCCGGTCATTCCTTGGACTGGCTGGCTATTACCGTGACCTGATACCTCGGTACGCCGAGAAAGCACAGCCGCTCACTGAGATGACGAGGAAGATGGAGAAAAACAAGATTACGTGGACCACGGATAGAGAAGAAGCGTTTGAATCACTCAAAAAGGCTTTGTCTTCTGGGCCAATCGTCAAAGCACCCGATCTGAAAAGAGAATTCGTGCTTCGGTCTGACGCCTCTGATTCTTGTATAGGCGCTATCCTTATGCAAGAGCATGATGGCATCCTCCACCCTGTGTCATATGCCAGTCGTCAACTTCAGCCTCGCGAAAAGAGATACTCAGCAATCGAGAGGGAATGCTTAGCGTTGGTCTGGGCGATAGAAAAGTATCATGTTTTTCTGTACGGAACGTCATTTGTCGTACAGACCGATCACCAACCACTGCAGTATCTCTTAAGGGCAAAACACCTGAACAGTAGGGTATTACGGTGGAGCCTCGCGTTACAAGAATATTCATTCCGAGTCGAGCACATTAGAGGCTCTGAAAATGTCGGCGCAGATTATATGAGCCGGTTGTGAATTTTTACGTTTTCTCGAGACAAGCGACTACTTCAAGTTGTTTGTTTGTTAAGGACATCTTGTGAATGGACGACGCGTGGTGACTTCTCGCGCACTGAACTGCAGTTTATTTTTCTTCGCAAAAGAAACTTTTCAAAGGGGGGACTCTTGTTGTGAGTGAAGTGCGCGAGTCAAGTGACTTTCAAATTTGGCGCGTAAGATGAACTACTGACAATGTGTGCAAGATGGCGTATTGCGCCAGTGCGGCGAACACTGGCGATTGGAAAAAGAAGAAAATTCAAGGGAATGGGAGAAAAATCCAGAGCCAGGGCATCGAAGAACGAGGAAGAGGAGATTCGGGCTCGTGCTTGGAAGAGGAAGGCTAGGGTGCGGCGTGCGACCTCGTCGGGTGCGAGTACCTCCTGGGCGTCAGGGCATCCACCTAGCGGGCGACTGTTTCCACGGGGTCCTGGTGACCATTCAACCGCAGCGGCTATTGGCGAATCCTTGGCAAGACCTTGGTCTGATGTTCGAGCGGAAGACAGCGCAGCAGATGACGTCTACCGGGAGCGGGAGCAAGCCGTCGGGCTACGGGCCCGAGCTTATGCACTCTCACCACGGCAGCTTCCCCAATGGACTATTGAAGGGCGTGAACCGCTGGTGAGCCGTATCCCAACGTTTATAGATACTTTTTCAGTTCCGCAACTCCTCGCGCCGCGCCCAGGGAGAAGGCGGCCGGCCGCCGCACCCGCCACCGCAGCGCTGCAGTCGCGCCTTGCGCTAGGAGAGCGAGAGTCGTCTGCTAGCGCGAAGGGTGTCGCGTGAGCCTTTGCGTGCGCCCGAGTGAGAATTGTGCGAACAGTGTACTTGGTCTTTACTCTCGCTATTTAACAGAGGCCACGCGCTTTAATTCGTGCGCGTTGTATGACTCACGAACTTGAAAAAAAGCCTGTACGTACTTCGCAGGCATCCGTTTTGCGCAGTGACAAAGTGATCGCTTCACCCTGCGCCTTCCTGTGTCCATTGCATCAAGACCACATTAGTAGTTTACAATTCAGCGCGCTAAAAGAAATAGAAATCTTAAACTTATAGCACTCGGGGTTACGTAACATGAGGACTTGGCGACTAGTAAATTTTGTTGGATGAATGAAACACTGCTATTCGTCTTTTTTTTTTTTTTGCGGTGGGAAAACGCCTCACGAATAGATCGAAAACTGACGTACACATTTCATTACACGTACACGGCACAGATTTGTCGGCAGGTTTACTGAGAAGTTCGTTAAACTAGCTTTGCCTTCTTGCGCTCTCTCTGTGCCCGAACGGCACTGCTGTTCTCCAAGCATTTGGCTCGTGCGAAGAAGTGCATACGAGTTGTTAAATAAAAGTGAATTGTTTGAGCAGTAAGCTGATTAGCATGCTCGGAACAGCCAACAATATTTGTGCCTCTCTTCACTAGAGCATCCAGCACATCCCAAAATAAGTCACCAAAACATGTGCCTTTGCTAGCATGCTTTATAGTGCGTTCTACCGTGCTCACACACGCAAGCAGTTTTTCTGAAGGGTATGCAAGGCTGCCACAGACGTATTCGCGCTCGATGACCAGTATGGCCTCCTTCGACAGTGAATCACGCCTACCAAGGGCATCTTCTTTGCAGACCTCACAGCGTGTAGTTTTCTTCAACTTGAAAGCCACGTAGCCTGCCAGGTAATACAAGGCGGTCGCTTCTGGTGATGGTGCATTGTATTCATGATCGTCGGCATCACTTGAGAGGGCATGGAATGGTTCTTGAGCTTCTCACTCAGGTGCTTTACATCTGCTTTCTTTCGCTCTCGTGCGGCAGTGGCACGAATTAGCCGCTTTCTCAGCGCACTTGCTGCCACGGGCACCTTTCTCTTTGATCGTGTGGACGTTGCCTTTCGCTTTAAACTTTTTGTCAAGTTGGCACATGCAGCACACACTTCTTTATCTGCGTCAGTCAGAACGGCGCAATCGTTGTGATGAAGCCTACCTCCAACTTTTTTTGTCACTCTGCTGGAGTTGGTGACATCGATAAGAGGGCAACCACGGCAAAATTGTTTTGCGTGCACAATTTGTACAATCGCTTCCACATCTTGCGCAGAAAATATGTTAATCTCTGCATCCCAGCTGCGCAACAGTCTTCCATTTGCATGGATGACGTACGTGAGGTCCTCGTGAATCGCGACGCTCTTCAGGATCGCGTAAACATCGTCCTTCATTCCCGCCTTGTAAAAGATAACCTGCCGAGGTTTACCAGTGTCCTCCTCAAGGTCCGCCATTCTCCAGTTTTTCGGAAGCTTTAAAGATGAGCCGTTTTCGACAATCTGTGCGAAATCAATGTCGTGCACGGGATCAGGAACTTCTTGCTGGTACTCATCTGATGGCGTAGCAACAAGTACGACTTTGTTGGGTAAGCTGGCCCTATCCTTAGGCGACCGCCGCCTCTTTATTGTTTTTGACAAATAGCTTGGAACATTCGGAAATTGACACGGCACGGCTTCAGGCTGTAATGCCCAACAGCCGCGGTCTATTTCAACAACCTGGCCGTCAATGGCATGCTTGTAAGTCTTCACAATGTCATGTTGCATAAAATGCACGTCACACACTTTGCATGTCTTGCTCAGAAGTTTATCGGCGCGGGGAATAGCTCTCACCCACCTTTCAAGCAGCTGCGGATCGGACGGCGGTGCAAAAAAGTGCCGCTTTTCTGGATTGCTTTTGTACCCGCTGGTGCAGCCGGGCACGAAGCAAGTTGGCATCGTAAAGCTTGGCAGCTCCGAGACGTCCTGTGGCCGGTAGTGCTAGGTTGTCACAATTCACAGATGATCGAAGTCTTCGAGGATAACCACGTGCGCGCACGGTCACAACAACGAGAAAAAAAAAGCGCGATGACAGCCGCGCACGCGGCCAAGCAACTGCGGGGAGGAGCAACACCGGCAACACGTGCGCCCGCGACAGCGCAACTCGCGACTGTGGCGCCATCTCACTGCCCGGGTAAAACCGGCGGCCGCCTGCGGCGGCGGAGTTACGGAACTGAAAAAGTATCTATAAACGTTGCCGTATCCGTCTTCTCTCGCGTCCGGACTCAAACACGAGGACTTTAACGAAAAGGACTGTTTAGACTCTTAGAGGTTTCCGCTCGCTAACGAAACTGACAGTGCTAATTAGTTAACATTTTTCTGATCTTAGTATTTTCCCTTTTTGTGGTTTTTTTTTGTGGGTTTGTGAAAGTATAATTTTTTTTTTGCAAATCAAACGCTCACTTCCTTTTCTCGTGAGAGATTAACGTTTCACAGCTAGCTCGACTGGCTTTATTTACTGAACCTGTCACAGGGTGTAACCACCAGCATTAGGGGCACCCTACCTTAATCGTGAACCACGTGTGAGAGACTGAAATTTTCCATAAGTTGTAATATGATCCATAGTGTTTGCTCAGTATGCACACAGCAGGTATGGTGCGGACATTACTGGTGCTGCTACAGCGTGAGAAATTTTAGCTCACTACTGCTTCGCGCTTTCAGCACGACGTACGATCCCACGTGATGAAACATAACAGTTGAGGACTAGCATACGAAGTGTCTTACAACTGCGAAATTGGCACCCTCTAGTGACGCTTCCTAGTGGTCTAGCATTGGCAAAATACAGGTGATTATGGCTCACGCACGCAGTCGTAACGAGAACGTCGCCTTGACTGCGGTTCGGAGTCAGATGAGCTGTGTGTGAGTTTAGGTCGTTTCTGAAGGCAGGCGCACCGCTTTTCTCTGGAGGCTCTTAAATCCGATTAAGCACCAGCAGCTCTAGCGGGGTCATTTAAAGGAGCAACATATTCTCGCATTTGATAGCGTTAAGGAAGCAGTAACAGGCAATTACATACCAATTCCCAAACTCACGGCCACTCGCCGGTAGATAAGCTACCGGCACTTCCGTAACACAGGTGAAACAAGCTATCGTGCGATCTCAAAGTATCGACTGGCTTCACTGACGCAGAGAATAAACGCTATTGGGTGCCATACCTTATTTGATCAGAATTATGGGGAAATGAGGGCTTAGACGTTCGGTGGTACTGGAAATCACAGCGCGAGAAGCGAAAACGTAACTTGCAAACCACAATTTCAACCGACACGGCGCTAGCCGGTAAGAGTCGAACTCACGAGGTCGTCGTCTTCACCGACGACGCTGGCTGAGCCCTCCGTCGTACTGCTCGTGGTCGGCATAGCAACGTCGAGGTCTCGCTTGGACATTTTCGGCGACGTCTCGCGGCTCTCCGGCAAACTCATGGCTTCAATCCCGCTGTCCCCGTCGTCCGCTGGCATGCCCTCCGCCGCCGATCCAACCCGGCAAACGCGCCGTTCACGTGCCGAGCGTCAACGTTCGGGCACTCGCCTGTATCACGCGACGTCTCGGCTGGGCCGTGGAGACCGCAGGTCGACGGCAACGGCTAAAAACGCGCTAGGACTATGCAAAGAAGCGGTAGCAAGCACGCTTTTTCGCTCCGTCCCAGCCCAGCAAGCACGCACGCGGACCGAGCAAAAAAGAGACGCAAGTCAATCCAAGACACAACCATGCCGAGCTGGCTGGGCGGTAAAGAAAGAAGAAAAAAACCATGCCAAAGCGAAACTCGAACGTTGGTTGCTCGTGAATATCAAATTTAATTATAATTTTCATTGAACCCATTGCTCAACGAGGCTGCAACACACACTGCCTAATTTCGGAACTCACTAGCACGCTCAACAATCATGCAAAGTAATTGTTTTTTCTGAAATGCATGTAGAAGTTGCGTTGTAACTGTCGGACAAAAACCTACAAATGAACCTGCATGTGGTGTCACATGTCGTACCGGTTTTAAAATGTGCGTCTCAAACGACGTTCTTAGCGCGCAAATCAAATCCCCATTTCATCGCTTCTACCCGCACGCATGGCTTTGACACCATGAACGCGTGATCCACTTGCGTGGTTAAACAAAAAAAAAACCATACCATGGTTTGAACATTATGTGTGTTGAACGAACCGTTTACATATGACACTCGGGAATGCTCGAAACATAACTCGATTGCTCGAAACAGCTAGAAGACTGCGCACCCTGTGTACGAAAAACGCGCTGCTCGGATGGTTGAAGCGGTAGTAGGGTCGATGCTTTTTCCTCGCGAAACAGCTGTGCGAAACGCCGGAGCCACGCGTGTGAAAGACGAAGAGAGCAGCCTTGATCCCTTTACGAAACGCGTCTTCCCTCGGCAGCTGCTCGTCACGAGGCAAGCTTGATTGCCGTGCTGTCATACGTCGAGTGGGGCGCGTCGATCTCGTCAAGTGCTTCTTCGGAGCTCGGAGATTACGGCGCGCAACACTCGATTACAACGCCGTGCAGTGCGGCGGGCGCGTGCCTGCAAGAGGGGGCGATGGCGGCATCATCCGGTGCCTACCCGAGCGTTTCCGAGCTCGCGCTGCGCGCGCTCAGCAAGTTTCGCTCGGAGTTAGGCTCCGAGCCCGCTTTCTACGGAAGCGCGCCGGGCCGCGTGAATCTGATCGGCGAACACGTGGACTACTGCGAAGGCCTGGTGCTCCCATGCGTGAGTTGCATGCTCGCGCGCGACTGCACAACGCGGGCTCGCATTGCATCGCGCGCACACTGGCAGTGACGGAAGTGCTGCTTCGAAAGAGAAATACCGCTACATGCGCTGCATTGATCAAACTGCGATTTTCGTTCGCAACGGCACTGAGAGAATGAAGCCGAGGGACGTTAACCGCATCAGGCTCGCGCCAACTGGTACGCCTAAAAAATAAGCCAGAACGATCGGTTTAATGTTGTGTTATAGTGTGCAGTTTTATCGACTCTTATCTCATGCGACAAGAGCTGCATATGGAGCGTATAGCACTTTTAGTTGTTTTTTTTTTCAACTTCACATGCATACGTACTTACATAAAAGTTGCCTGAGTTGCTTTGATCACAATTCTGTTTGGCAATTGTATATATGGTTACTTATTATGTAATGTGGCACTCAGCTTTACTGCTTGGACGTTATTTCTGTGGCATTTCAATTATTTGTCTTATTTCACTGAGCATTTCGATAACCAAAACCATCATTTGAATTGTTTGTTTCTTGCAATTTACGTTGTTTTCTGTAAAATATGCTTCATCTATAAATATCAATATTTATCAGATGCTTCAGGGTGCTTCAAGCTCCAGGCATCCAAAAGAAAGGCAAGAGAGGGAAGATTGAAGCTTGCGATAAGAAATTTCAGAACAAGTGGTGGGGCTGGAGCTGACATTTCTACAAGCAGACTGGAGCTGACATTTCTACAAACGCTTCGACAAGCTTGCTTGTCGAAGCGTTGTACCCAGCACTTACCCCGTTTTCAAACTTGTCATTGGAGTAGTATGGCATATTTTGCCATTCGCTCCTGCGACAGCTGCTCCAAGCTATAGCATTCCCTATGCTCTGACAATACTGACGGCTGCTCGAAAGCTGTAATCATTCTGCTACTAAATCTTCTCCGAAAAGTGAAACGTCTCCACCGCCATTGTCGCAGTCATATATACAGGAAGCACTTTCAATCGTGATTGGTGCACTTTCACAAGCTGCGGAAAGGACCAGTTGATTAAATGGACATTCGATCTGCATCGCAGATTCGATCGATTGTGGTCGAAGGTGCTCCGTCGAGCCTTTTTATCTTTGTGCACCTGATGTGTTCACTGCAGCATTTACAGTATATGCCCTGCCACGCTACAATCGAAGTGAGGCGAAATGTAGAATTAAAATTCATGTACGACGATTTAATGTTTAATAATTCCCCAGCTGCTCAAAAATTAATTTGTTTAGCCTTACACATCGTCATTTGGCACATGACACACAATGAAACTAATTAATTAATGTAGGATTACATCGCACACTGCTGAAGACATACACAATGAAGCGGAAAACATTTTACAGGTTCTGAGCGTCCTTAAATTAGTTCATGCATTAGTATATATAATTCGCAATCACTCCTTTTGAATTTGATCAGCTAGTGTTTTTGGTCATCAGGACGATTCTTGGAATACACGTCACTCTGTGTTTGAATATGGAGTGGGCAGGATAAAGACTTTTAATATGCTTTTCTTTTCTATTATATATATATATTTATATATATATATCTATATATACAGAGAGAGAGAAAGAGAGAGAGTTTACCTAGTGCTGGTTAAGCAATATTTAATGTTTTAAAGTGTGAGCGTGAAAACTGCCAGTTTTATTAGCTCAAAGAAAAACAGCGGCATCAGCTGACATATTGTTACGTGATTTCGGCTGAATGTAACAGGAGATAGTGGAACATACCCAATAAGGGTGCCTCAGACTGAGAGGGAACAAGTGGACGTTGTCGGTGAGCTGTGTTGTGGCTGCGGACTGACTACTGTTATTTTTCACGTAACATTTTGGTGGAAGTGCTGGGTGCTCTTTTGAGAACAGAGCTACGCAGTGGACGCCTCCTTAAGTCTGGTACCATGGCTCCGGGTGATGATACACTTTCACCACCTACCTCAACAACGACAGCAACCCGGTACGTCGTCCTAACGCAACCCCATGATCCTGGTACCTTTACTGGAGAGGGCAACGTGAATGTGGACAAGTGGCTTAGTATGTAAGAGCGCGTCAGCAAGCAATATGGCTGGGACCCAACCGTTATGCTTGCAAATGTAATTTTCTATCTTGACAAAACCCCTCGCATCTGGTTTGAGACCCACGAGCACGAAATCACAAGCTGGGAAATGTTTAAATAACAGCTCCGCGAACTCTTTGGCAACCCATTTGGTCAACAACTTGATGCCCGAAAGCAATTGGCCGTACGTACACAGACGTCCACTGAGCCCTACTTGACTTATATTCAAGACGTCTTAGCGTTGTGTCAAAGAGCCGATCCCAACATGACTGAGGCCGACAAGATTTTGCACGTTTTAAAGGGAATCGCCGACAATGCGTTCAGCCTGCTTGTATTTATGAACATAACGACCATCGACGCCGTGATCAAAGAGTGCCGCCGTCTCGAGCAGGCGAAGAGTCGACACATTTTGCACCAGTTCCAGCGCCTACCCAACACCGCTGCAACGTCGTCTTGCAAACCACTCCTTGTCATCCGTCTACAACCGAAGACATGACGCGCATTGTCCGACGGGAACTTGAGGCCGCTTACCGGCTGCCAACAAACTGACGTTGCCCGACGCCTCAACACCAGCTGTCTCCTTGATCCAGGCTTTTGTCCGCGAGGAATTCCCTAACCTGGGTATCCTGTCCACTGCACCCACTTTGGATAATACTGATCCCTCGATAGCTTCTGTGGACATGAGACGTCGCCGCCCGTACTCTATTCGAACCAGAAACCTGTCTGAATGGCGAACAGCTCGTGAGAAGCCAAAGTGCTTCCGCTGTGTTCGTGCAGGACACATCGCTCGTTACTGCCGCAGCCAGTGTCCATCTATGCTTTCTGGCTCGTACCCCGCTTACAGTAACACCTTCCGTCCACCAAACCACCGTTATCCGACCCGCACTGAGTCTACAGCATTTACTGCCCCTGAGGACTACGGCAACCCTGTCCCGTCCTCGCCGCTGCCTCAAAGCCGCCCTTCTCATCCCAATACGCGTCGCCGCTCTCCCTCGTCGTCGTCTAACCGCTGCATGTCTCCGGAAAACTAGGCTTCGCAGTTTTCGGAGGTGAAGCTGCCCTGTCGACCTCTCCCAAAAATCCTCTGTTGGCCTTACGTTTGAACCGGAACACCCTTGAAGTATATGTTGATGGCACACCTGTTGAAGCTTTGATTGATACGGGTGCTCACGTCTTAATTATCAGTTCGTATTTTCATTGTCGCATGAAGGAGGTCCTCACGCCCCCTTGACCAGTGTTGTCCAAGTTGCAGATGGCGCAACAGTCTCGGTATGTGCACAGCTCAACTCACCGTAGCCGGCCATCAAGTGGTCGTCCTTTTTACCGTCCTTAGAACATGACCCCACGACCTCATACTGAACCTCAATTTTCTAGCGCGAATTTCGCTCTGATTGATTGCTCCGCTGGCGTGCTTCGCCTTGAGCTGCCACAAATCAGTGACGCCCCGTACCAACCTACATGCCGATTACAATGCAGCGACTTTGTTCACCTGCCCTCCAAAACTGACGTACATCGATTTTCTGTGCTCACCAGCTGTGCCCGACAGTGACTATTATGCTACGCCTCTCACCGAAGTACTCTTGCACATAATGTTGCAGTTCCCTACACGGTGCTCAGCATCACAGATAACAGAACTTGTCTACCACTTGTAAATTTCGGCTACATGAATCAAGTGCTCCCACAAGGCATTTCTGTGGCCCACCTGTGTTTGTTGCTCGATTCACAAACTGAAGTGCTTGCCTTAGACACCCTTGTTTCAACGCAGCACATTCGGGCAGCCATCAAATTGTAGACATGATCGCCACTGATCTTCCGCCTCCGCAAGTTGAAGCCCTATAGCATCTTTTCGAGGCCTACCAGGATATTTTTGATTTTGACGACCGACCTCTAGGGCAGACGTCCTTTGTCCAGCATCGCATACACACAGGTGATGCCAACCCTGTTCACCGCCGTCCCTATAAAGTGTCTGCTTTTGAGTGGAGCATCATTCAGAAGGAGGTGAACACCATGCTAGCGAAGGACATTATTGAACCATCCTACAGTACCTGGGCATCCTCGGTGGTATTAGTTAAAAAGAAGGATGGATCGTGGCGATTTTATGTGAACTATCGCCAGCTTAACAACATCACCAAGAAAGACGCATACCCTCTGCCACGAATTGATGACGCCCTTGATTGCCTTCATGGTGCCGCCTACTTTTCTTCCATCGATCTTCGTTCTGGTTATTGGCAGATTGTCGTGGACCCCATGGACCGAGAAAAGACGGCTTTTGTAACACCTGATGGCCTCTACCAATTCAACGTCATGTGTTTCGGCTTATGTAATGCCCCCGCCACCTTTGAACGAATGATGGACTCCCTGCTCCATGGATTTAAGTGGTCTATGTGTCTTTGTTATCTGGATAATGTGATTGTGTTTGCTCCCACTTTTGAAGCGCACCTTGAAAGACTGTCCAAAATTCTTGATGTATTCCGTCTCGCTGGCCTTCAGCTGAATTCATCCAAATGCCGGTTTGGTCGCCGCCGCATTACAATACTTGGGCATGTTGTTGACGCTTATAGCGTACAGCCTGACCCAGAAAAAGTTAGAGCTGTGAAGGACTTTCCTGTGCCAAAAACTGCCAAAGATGTCCGCAGCTGTGTAGGGCTCTGCTTCTACTTTTGGCGGTTCATCAAGAACTTCGTTGAAATTGCTCGGCCCCTAACAGATTTACTCAAACCAGATAAGACATTTACCTGGGGTCCCTCGCAAGCAGCAGCATTCTCTGACTTCATCACTTTGCGTCCTTTCCATCTCCCAGCTGCTTCATCTCGGAGATGAGCAGCATCGCGATTCGAATATCAGCCGCCTAATACAACAGCTCGAATCTTCACTGCAAGACGCTTCTGTTCGCATGTTTACCTTAAAGGACCACACCTTATATCGGTGTAAT